GAGAACAGGTCCCCTGGTTGCCACAACAGAAGGTCAAAACCATCGTTAGCTCTGCCCACAGGCTCACTAAGTCATAGGTTCCTCGTGGTGTCACTGAAGCCACCTCAAGCTCCTGAAGCATGGAAAATGCTCCTACTATTTAAAGACTGAAACAAAATCATTCATACATAGTGTTGATGTCTAGCAGGTAATTCAGTAAATGGTCTTGACTAATTGGTCTTTTAGTAATTTTTATTTTTATAATGTGGGTCGTGGGGTGGAGGAAGAGAAATACAGGACAGTTTTTCTGTGGTTGATTCTATAAGTTTGGCTGAGGAATTAGGGCTGGAGAAGGTCAATTTCCTGGACCTTGAGCAGAAATTTCTGGCCAGGCCTGCCACAGACTCGTTGTAGTCCAGCAACCTCATTGTACCAATGGGCGAGTTTTGAGGCCCAGGCTGGAGAAAGGATTTGCCTGAGGTCATTTAGCTAGTTAGTGGGACAATGGAAGTCAGTTCCTACTTTTGCAAGGAGCACTCTAGGCAATTAAAACTGTGCTCTGCCACCAAATGCCTGCAATTATGATCCTTATTACTTCATTTTTTCCAAAATGAGCTGTGGCAAGGATGAATAGGGGAGGAGCTTTGGGCAAAGGCTTCCAAAATGGAACAGCAGTGCGATCTATCTGAATATGTCTGCGCAATCTAGGATTAACAGTGTGGCCTTTAAAATCTTTGGATCTGCCAGGTGTCTGGACTGTCAGCAGATGAGAATGCAGCTGAAACCCTGTTTTAGCCACACCTTTCAGTCCCAGTGCTTGCCTCCAGGGATTGGGAGAACGAGGCAATATTCCCACTCCTCTCCAAAGGCCCTTCTCAAACTCGGCTCAGGTCAAAAGGAGCACACGTATATAAGGGCTGTGACAACAGACTCCCTGAATCCTAACCCCAAGAGCACCAGTGCCAGTGCCTAGCCGGCGGCACCTCTCCCACAGTAGCTAACGTGGGCTCTGCCAAAAGGAAGATCAGTCACTCTTCAACAGACATTTGCTGACTGATGACTGTGCGTGGCACCAAGCGAGGCCATGAGGATAGAGAGTTGAACTGAGGCTGCCCTCAGTGCGCTCTCAGTCAAGTAGGTGAAGCAGACGGTAAACAGACAACTTCATAGGTCAGCTCACCAGAGGCACCTACAATACGTCACGCACCGTGCCACACCCTGGGGGTGCGAAGATGGGTAAGACCCAGTTCAACTCTCACCACCTCAGAAACAGACAGGAAAACATGGCCAATACAGTGTTTAACTGCTACAAAGGAGGTCTGTTTGGGAAGTTGGGGGAGCTCTGAAGAGAGGGGTCTAGAGGGAGTGTGGGTCACAAAGCACCAAGAAGTATCTGGGAAACCACCAATTGAATGGAGGCCATAAAGGCCCCTGTTTTTGGCTGCCACTGGGAAAGCGGGCTAGCTGTCAGCCACATAACCTGGCCAGTTTCTGAGCATTTGGAGGAAGGAGGAGGAAACCCAGGGGAAGGTTTTGCAGGCACACATGTGACACAAACCGAAGTTTGTCTGCCCGTCTGGAGCCTCCTCCCAGGTTCTGTTCCACTTTGATTTCTCCTTATCTGAAAGGCCTTTCCCAGAAAGAATTCTAAGCTAATTCATCCTGATAGGTGCATGACTGGTAAGAGCAGTGTTTCCCAGGCTTGTTTGAGGATAAGGATCCCCTGGTGGCATTCCTAATTGTACTGTCGACCTTGTTTCTCCCCTGATGTGATAGTGTGATTTTATAATAAGAAATATATCTTGTCTTCCTCCCCATTTCTGGCACAGAGCTCCTAAAACTCTTGAAATATTCTAGATGATGAGAGTGATTAAAGTGTCTAGATGTCCATAACAGACCCTTTTCAACCATACCTGAGTTTGTGTTAATGTGGTGACTTTTGGAAAGCCCCTAAGGATGCAGAGATCCAGAGGGGAGAGAGGCTGGAGGTTGAATCAATCACCAGTGGCCAATAATTTGGTCAATCAGGTCTATGTCATGAAGCCTCCAAAAAGACCCCAAAGGACAGGGTTCAGAGGGCTTTCGGGTTGGTGAACCAGACTGCTCCCACGTGCCACCATGCTGGGTCCCAAACTCCAGGAGGACAGAAGCTCCTTTGTTCAGGACTTTGCCCTATGTATCTCTTCCTCTGGCTATTGATTCAGATTCTTTAATATCCTTTGTAATAAATCACTAAGCTAGTGAGTAAACTCGTTTCCTGAGTTCTGTGAACCACTCTCACAAATTAATTGAACCCAGAGGAGGAGATCGTGGGAATCTCTGATTTATAGCCAGTTGATCAGAAGTAGAGATAACCTGGACTTGTGCTTGATATCTGAAATGGAGAGCAGTCTTGTGGGACTGAGCCCTTAGCCTGTGGGATCTGACGCTATCTCTGGTGGATAGCATCAGAGTGGAGTTGAATTATAGGACACCCAGCTGGTGTCAGAGAATTGGTCAGTGGTGTGGAAAAGCCCACACTTTAGAACTGTTTTAGTAGAATCTTACTTGGAAATTTTTATTCAATAAGTCTGGGTAGCTTCTGGAAATCTGTTTTTAACAAGGGGTCTATGAACAAAGAAGAACAAAACATTGCTCACCACCCAGCTCTACAAGGGTTAAGCCATAACCCACTATCGTTATCCACTGACAGTGCACCCTGAGAGGAATTCAGGATGAAAAACAAGATGAGGCAATCTGTGCTTTGGATAAACAGGCCCCTTAGATAGTTAGGTACATACCTAAAGAGGAATTTCAATGACCACATACATAGGAAAGCACTAAAATCATTAACTTGAGAGATCTGGTCTTTGTGATGAGCAGTAATCTTTTACCAAGATGTATGCTCAACTACAGATATTTCCTGGCCAAAAGTCATAGATAACCTGATTTCTCCTCTGCCTCTTTGGAGCAGTGTCCTCAGAGCTAACTGAGTGGCCATCTCCTGGGCTCTAGTCCTCAGCAAGACCCTGAAGAAAACTGAAACCCACAACTCTTATGTTGTGTATCTTTCTTTAAGTCAACGGCTTCAGGTGATTCTTCAGGCAAATTTGGGAAACCATGAATTAAAGCATTATCCCCAGGAATTCTCAATACAGGCTTTGATTCCTAATGTGGAATCTCAAACACACATACCTAAGTAGTAGAGCGTAAAGGTTTTCAAACAGGTAATAATAAGACAGACCTTACACTTGAAGAGCATCCTGTAGCTACACTATCACATAGAACTATAAATATTACCACATGGGAACCACCTAACAACCTCGTAAACTTGTCCCCATTTTAGAGATGAGGAAACTGTGCCAGAGTGTAAATGATGCAAGAGCAACACAAAGAAAGATGCCTACTTTTGTAAAAGAATACCTTATAACACAGTTTACAAGGTCTGAAGGGATGTGAAGCCCAAGGGGAGCCTGAAGCAAATAGGAGTCTGCAGCCTCCCAAAGGTAGGAGATACGGCTACATTTGGAAACTTAGTTATTTTCCATGGCACCATGAAGCCTTTCTATACTTGACTGTCATGTCGACTATACCAGTTGCATTTTCCACAACCACATATTGTACCACAAACCAGTCTGACCTGCAAGGGAAGTACAAGCTTTGGTCCTTTTGCAATGTTCTGCTGCCTAACCAGTTTGTGTCTGCAGAATGACATATGGCTGGATCAAGATGGAGAAGTCCTCGTGAAGGGAGGGTGGTGGTTATATGAGGCCTGGCCTAGGATCCTTTCCTGGCCTCCTGAGGGCTTCAGGAGGTGAAGCCAAAGGATTTCATTCCTTTCATCCAATCGTGTGATGTTTCTTTTAGATCAGGCATTCTGCTGCCAGCCACGGATGCGCTTTGAGGAATTCTTAGTCTAGGCAAGAGAGAAAGGAAGACATACACAGGACTAGCGATTACCTAAGTCAGGAAGAATTGCAAAGCAGAATAAGTACCATTCTATGGTGATGCAGCAGGAGTTAATAGTTCTCATGAAAGATCCTGGAGGTTTACTGAAGGAAGTGACATTTCCCCTGGGCCTTGAAAGATAGGTAGGTATTCCAAAGACAGAAGGGCATTATAAACTGAGGGAATCTATGAGCCAAGGCATCTGAACCCCAAGACCAGGGGAGATCTACTGGAAGCCCACTGCTTGTCTGGGGCAACTGGGGGAGATTCTTTGGGCCTTACACTTGTGGGGAAGGGACCTGGGGTGGCTGTACCCTACTCTTCCTTTATGGACAACATTAAAATTTAATTTTGAAAGTCCTGTCTTTAATGATACTCCATGGGACCTATGAGCATTACTGACAGTGTAGTAGCCTTCTTTCAAGGGGGAGTATTTAGGGCAGCCAGCACTGGTTGAGTTGTCCCAGGCCTCACTGTCTTCCACCGATGGTCAGTTCATGGGCTCGAATATTGGGTTATCAGAAACGGATGGCAGAAGACCTTATATAAATGCTAAGGAGATGGTACTGCTGAGACATTGAAAGGTTTTAAGCAGAAAAGTAATTTGTCACATATACATCTTCAGTCTCTCTCATTGCTGTCTGGTTGCTGACTGGGAGATGCTTTAGACAAAGACAAGAATGGAAGGAGAGAGTTCAATCAGGAGGCTACTGCAGTCGTCCAAGCAAAAAGTCATGGGGCCTAAAGAGAATGTGTAGTGATGAGGTTGGCATGGAGAAAGAGGTGATTGATGGGTTGAATCAACTAGCCTCTGTACTCACTGGGGGGGGGGGTGGTGTGCGTGTGTGTGTGTATGTGTGTGTGTGTAGAGGAATAAGACGGGAGGAGTCAAGGGTGACTGCCTAACAAGTGCAATGAGAGATGGACCTCTATAAGAATCTAGTCTTCTCAAAGGACGGCAGGAAGGGAGGGGAGGGTCAGGTCAGGGACTGAGAAGGGAGAAACCGAGAGGCCAGGTGGCAGAAAGGAAGCCCCGCCCCCAGCTTCTGCCCCGCCCCCGACTCCACCTCTTCTCTCTCTTCCCACCCACCCCCCAACCGCGGCTCATCCTCGAGGGCGGAGACAGGTGGCATTTGAGTCCTCCGGTATCCCAGCAGGCAGTGCAGCCTAGAGATGCTGACAAAGGACCGGAGGAGCAGTCGCAGCTGCTTTCCAGGAGCTGGTGTTGCCGAGGTGAGAGTCCCCCACCTTCCCGTCACCCACTTCCTCCGACTTCGGGAAGACGTAGAAGTTACGTTGCCGAGAGACCCCGCGGAAAGAATGAGCCATACCTAAACCCCGAGCTTGGCTCTGTGACTGACAGCAGGGCTCCGTGGCGCCAGGATGCGGGTGGGAGGTGGGGGGAAGGCAGGTGGAGTCCTTTCTGCCCCTTCTCTGACTGTCAGTTGCCCCGCCGCCCGCGGATCCCCGCCCCGGGGTCTGGCCGGCCCGGGTGTGTTTCGCTTTTGCCCGGGCGGAGGCAGCCGGCTGGAGATCCTCCCGGTGCCTGCCCGGCAGAGTTCGGTTGCCCGGGGATGCGACTCCAGGGACAACTCTTTGGCGGATGTTTCGAGGAGGGCTGGGGGAGGGAGCTCGACTCCCTGTTCGGGGTGACACCGTCCTCGCCCTTCCTCCTCCTTCCTCCAGCCCAGCCGGTCCCCGCGGCGCAACTGGAAGGAAATCGGTGGGGCTGGAGCGAGGCGTCCCGGGATGGCTGGAGGGCCAGGAAAGTGGGGTGGAGAGGCAGGGAGTGAGAGCAAAAGCCTTCTTGAAATAATTGGGTGAGGGGTAAGGGGTACGTGGCCTGTATCCTTCCCTTTCCTGGACCTCCTCACGGATCCTGACGGTTGCACCAGCTGCTCGGCTGTAAACAGGCTCACATGACCGGTTTCACATGGAGCCGGCCGGTGTGGAGACGGGGGCTGGAAAGGCTCCAGTCAGGTGGAGCTGAAGTCCTAGTGTGGACCGTCTGATACTCCCTCCTCAGCCCTCCAGCCCTTCATCCGTGTTCTGTGGTTTCCCCTCTGGGTCCAGTACCTGACATCTGTCCTCTCCGGACTGAAGTAGCATTTCTGCCCCAGTAGAATCGAAGAGAGCTCACTTTGGGGAGCGAGAGGGCAAGTGTTAAGTGACAAAGGTCCTGGATTTTTTTTTAACCTTTGAGGGAGATAAGAAGAGGACGGAAATCTGAAAAATTAAGTCCTTTGGATCTTGCCTAAAACGCAGTGCTGTACTTTCGGAATGCATTGTGTTCCTAATTTGAATTCCAAGACAGAAGGGGAAAAGTCTACTTTTCCAGGCAGGGCACCATGGGATTTAATATATTCTTGACGATGAAAATCTTGTCCACTTGTTTTCTCTAAGTACCGGGAAATCTCTGCCTGCAAAATATCATATACAGGATATTGTATAGGGACTGGACACCAACTTTCACGTTACACATATATTTGGTATAAAGTAGTGGGACGTTTGGAAAACAGGAAACCAGGCCACATGTGCCTTTCAGATTGTTCACCTCTACATATCCAAACCGGATTCAAGATTAAATGCGTTTCTGAAGCATTTCTGGAACCCTCAAGATAAGATGTTTACTCAAATACCGGGATATTTGAAAATCGAAAAATTTCAAACCTGTTATGATAGAGTCCCTTTACATATAAAATATAATTAAATGAGAGGGAGGGTATAGCTCAAGTGGTAGAGCACATGGCTTGGCATGCACAAGGTCCTGGGTTCAATCCCCAGTACCTCCTCCAAAAAAATGAATAATAAAACTAATTACCCTCCTATATATATATATATAGATAGATAGATAGATCTATCTATCTATCTATATATATATATAAAATTAAACGGAATGGACAGTGTTCAGTACAAAGTCATGTTATAGGCAATGATAGAAAATAGAACAAATAGCTTATAAAATAATGCCTGTTTCTCCTCTTAAATTGTCCATGCACATTTTCTTCCCCAATTTTTTATTAAATTTTTTTCTCATGGACCTTTTACATTTAACTAAAATTTCTGAAAAATAGGAAACAATCAAGAAACTGCAAGAAAATCTTCCCAAGCCTCTAATAGCCCAATAAAAAAATTTGCCACTCTTCTTTTATTGTTTTTAAAAAGTTGAAGATGGAAAATAGAGGAATTTTAAATCTTGTCTAAAACTTAGAGTATTAGTGTTCTGAATCTTGTTTTACCACCTTGTAGCATTCTGGAGAATCCTGCCCTATGATAAATAGATTAAGTGATTGACTCTCTGAGGCCCTCCATTTCCTCATCTGTATAAGAAAATTTTGTTTTAATCTCTAGAGTCCCTTAAAGCTCTCAGATTCCATAAAATAGTGCAGTTTTTGATTGGGAACAATTATTGAACAAAATAAATTGGTCAAATAAGCCAAGATATTGATATCAACTAAAAGAACATGCAGCAAGTAACAAGAAGTACCCAGAGTCCTAATAGAAATAAGAATTGCGCTCTGCAAAATCCTCATTAGGTAAATTAACCGTATAGAGTGACCTGTTCCTCTCTCTCTGTCCTCTGTATCAGGAAATTGAAGACTGCCTCCACTCAATCCTGCCTCCAAAATTAGAAATAACAATTCCACCTGACTTTCTTGACCTTCAGGGCAAAGTACAAAGTCTGATTCTTTCACTCATTCCAGCTTCTTCCTGAATTAAATGGGCTTTGTGACCAGTGATGAAGTTAGAATAAAAAGAAGGCCCTAGCAGGCTCTCACCCTGGCAGTCCCTTGGCTAGATGACCAGAACCAATGTCTGGTTTTCAGCTTTTCAGGGTTCAAAATTACATTTTGCCAGCACATCCAGAAATGATCAGTCAGTCTCAGGGATTGAATCATCCTAACCAAACTCAAAAGATTTCTGTTAAAATGAAAGCTGGTTCACTCACTGGAAGTGAGAGGTAGACGTGCCAGGCAGACCAGAAGATTCAGGTGCACGCCAGGGCACTCTTTGGTCTTGACACTGGGAACACACAGAGATTGCTCTCGACCTCCCCATTTTCGAGGGTCTGTGTGGACCACTTCTCCTTAAAACACTTAGTGGTTGATACATTTGACAGAATTACAGCTTGCTTTTATAGAAGAGCCATTTGGGTCATACCTTTGTGTGGCTGTATCTTAGTCACCTGATTGAACTTGGGCCACCTGCAAAACATCTCTGCAATCTGTTTCCTTCTCCATTCCCACTTCCTTAGTGTTGGCCCTCATCTCTCCATGCCATGTTCATCCAATATTTAATTACTTTTTACTGCAAGTGCTTTGGAGTTGGGTGCTGTGCTTGAATGGTCAGTGGCAACCAGTTTCCTCCTTCAGGTCATAACCTGTCAGAACCCTGCTTCCAGCCATGTGGATGTTTCCTGTTGCCTGCGGCAGCGGCAAAGCAGCATGTGCATCAGAATCACCTGGAGGGCTTATTACAACACGGATGGCTAGGCCCCAACCCCATAATTTCTGATTCAGTAGGTCCAGGGTGGGACCCAAGAATTTGCATTTCTAGCAAGTTCCCAGGTGAAGCTGCTGCTGGTGGTCTGGTACCACATCTTGAGAAACAGTGGCATCCAGAATCAAGTCTAAACCCCGCAAACTTGCCTTACAGGACTTTTCACCATCTGCCTCTAGCTTACCTTTCCAGCCTTATCTCTTGCCACCGCCTCCCATACTGCTGTTTTTAAACCATATGCAGTGCCAAAGCTCATTTTAAGAGTCTTTCGTGTCTCCACTCATCCTCTTCCTTGGAATTCAGCCCCTCTCCCTCCACTCCTACTGCAAACCCCCATTTAAGGCAGATTGTCACTTTCTTTATGCTCCCAGAGCTGTTTTGCAGCTACCAGCATTTTAACACATGTCACGTCACATCCTAATTACTGTCTATATCCGTTTTTCCTGCCAGACTGAGTTTTTGGAGGGCTGAAGCCATGGTGTTATCTTTTCTCCATATTCCTTAGCACAGTGGCTGGTATATAATAAGTGCCCAGTAAATGTTGAAATAATTTGTGATTCTAACACTTCTGAGAGTGCTGTATATAGCAAAATATATATTTCATATAACGAATTAATATGGACTTGGCTTTGAGAATTGCACATACATCCTGAAATAACTGGAGACATATTGGGATATTGTAAAACAAAGGTTAGAAATAACTAGTTTGAAAGAGATTTTTAAAAAGACATGACTGGAGGGCATCCTTATTTCTTTTAAATCTTAAAACATACACTACTCAACTTTTAATAGCCTGTCACTACATATCATGTATAGCAGCCAGTCCCATTATTAAGACATCAAATTATACAAAAAAATCTTAGAAACCATATAAAAACAAAATTGCCTAATACTGAGCAGTGAACTACTTAAAAATATAAAGTGAAGATTACAACATCACTTGTAAAAGAGTTGACATTAGGGACATACGAGCCGTTAAAAATCCTAATAGATGAAACTGGAAACTCAGAGTTGAAGAGAGCTGAGTTTATGAAATGGGAAGGAAAGAGAAGTTTTAATACTAGTGAGAGTAAAGCAAAAGAACATAATTGCTCTTAACTGTTTAGTATTCAACTGTTAGGCCATTGGCAAGGGCTGCACCAAGTATGGAGGAAAGAGATAGCCCCTGTGCCCAGATAAAAGGGAGCTGGCCTGCTAGTGGAGCTGGGAACCCTAATCAGTGAATACAAGAGCCAGGAACAGAGGGTTAGTAGCTGGTGCACTGTGGCCAAGCAGATGGGTCACTAGTTTCCGGGGAAGTCTGTACTTTGAATCATCCTTAACTATTTCAAATTTTGAGCCACTTCGGTACAGGAATCCACAAGGATCACTTATTTCATTTGATTTTTCTTGCAGCCTCCTCTTCCCCAAAAAAGGCAGTGGGGAGGGCAAGTGACTGTAGGCTTTGAAAGTGGTTTCTGTGCTCTTTGTCTCCAAGGTTTGAATTTATGAGGGTAAAAGGTATTGAAACTCCCCCGTTTATCTCAGACTCTTCTCTTCCCCTTCCCTTGGTCCATTCAAAGTGAGGGAGACAGAGAAAATGATCCCACTTTGGGGTACTGGTCTCCCTAGACTGAGGGTGGAAAGTGTGGGTGAGGGTTTCAGTATGTTGAGGTTTTTTTTCTGGTGGGAGAGAAGTTTGCAAACTGGTCACAAGGTGGTGTGCACACATAAGGTTTTCTTTCAGATTGCAC